ACAAGAACTTCCACAGCAAGCAGACTAATGGTGTACACTTCAGTGAAAGAGAAATGGTACTTGTTGTAAAATAAATTCTTGGGTATAAGTAAATTATATACCACTTCCCATACTTTTTTTTTTTCAAATTGCCCATTGCTTTAAATGAAAACAGGCTTTAGTGAGAACTGTAAACACTCAGAACATTTCTCAAGGACCAGTCTCCCTTCTCCCTGCTGATAAAATGTAGTTATGTTTCCGTTTTCCAATAACCTTCTGCTGATGAGCCAAGAAATTTCAAAACTTCATTAACAGCTCACCAGCAAAACCTGAGAACTGCTCTTTCAAACCGCCAGGATCCAACTTCCGTCCCTCTCTTAGCAAATGAGCCCACTTTGCCTCCATTCATATTGAGGCAGGCATTCCAGGGTTCCAGGGGCTCGAGGGCCCAGGGCCCACGGAGGGCTCTTGGCTTCGCAGAGGAAAGAATTCAAACATGAGCCAGCGTGGCGCTTAAAGGGAAAGTGAGTTTATTAGTGAAGCACTGAGACCGAGAATGGGCTACTTCACACACACAGCAGCTCCCCTCTAGTGAAACTTGCTTCCTTGGTTGAGGTTCATCTAACTGGGGGGGTAGGGTATTCAATGAGGGGGAGGAATAATCAGGACCTTCCAGGAAAGGGGTGGAGATTTCTCAGAGGAACTCCTACAGTCATTTTGTGCCCTTCTATGACAGTGGTTCTCAACCTTCCTAATGCCGCGACCCTTTAATACAGTTCCTCATGTTGTGGTGACCCCCAATTTCATTGTTACAAATTGAACATAATTAAAGCATAGTAATTAATCACAAAAACAATATGTAATTATATATGTGTTTTCCGATGGTCTTAGGCGACCCCTGTGAAAGGGTCATTCAACCCCCAGGTTGAGAACCGCTGTTCTATGAGCTTTCTGTTTATTGCAATGAGTGTACAATGATGCTAGGGGTTACCCTTAGGTGACATGAGTCTCCATGTCGGATCTAGCTGGTCTCTGCTGGTTTAAGCCATAAATCCTGTACGGAGAGTGGTCTTACTATCTTCCTGACAGTTCCTTGCAGCGGTTTCACCACATGCCCTGCCTCCAGATGGCACCATGAGCGTTCATTATACTTGTGCCATGTAGTCTCTCACTGCACTCTGTCCTCCTGCACTTCACAGTGATGCTAGAGCTCTGATCCCAAAGGAAAACACACACACCTACTAACGTTCTTTCTAAAAATAGCACCATCAGCCAGCCTTGCAAAGGCAGCTTCTTGCCTCCACATCCGCAAGGGGAAATAGAGCTGGATGCGAGGAGCCTTTGCTCTCCTTGTGGCTCTGGCTTGACTGGAGACGAAGGGACAGAGACCAAAGCAAATCAGTAACCCAAATCCCGTTCCCCATGAACCCCAAACCCCATCGTGAGGCTCTAAATATGGCACTTCAGCAGGATTCCCGGTTTTTCCTCATCAATCACCAACATATCATCACATATGTAGCACAGAAGATGTGGCCACCTGAATGTGTGTGTGTGTGTGTGTGTGTGTGTGTGTGTGTGTGTGTGTTAGTGGTCTGGCTGTAGCTGTCCCACCCTCACCAGTATTAATCACATCATTGCTGGCTGCCTTGGCTCCTGGCTTATGAGTCATAAGTGGCACTTACATAAAATCTGTGCCTATATTTGTACTATTTCTCTTTGTCAGTTTGTTCAGATATGTAGCCTGCATCATGCCTCCCAAGTCATCAATGTCTCGTTGTAGTCACAGAGCCTGACCCCACAATTCAGACTGACAGGGGACAACGTGCTGACTGGATGTAGCAGCCACACAGTAAATGGCTGTGACACAAAGAAGCACCCACAGGCACACAGGGTGGCACTTGGTCATCAGTGGGTTGTGTTTTTCCAAAATACACCTCGCTGAAGACGCAGCTACAATGCAACTGGATGTAAACACCTTGTCAGATATTTTTGGAATAAGCCTATATAACAGTTTGCTCCTTATATAATTGACATTCCAAAACCAATGCCTTTCATGCAGAATACACCTCGCATTGGAACAGAAAGAGCCTCCAGGGGTTGTAGAGCATCTTTTGCTTTTCATTGGTTGTTTGTGTGTGTGTGTGTGTGATGCCAGAATAGTTTTATTTACAAAAGAGTCACATTGGAATCATGAGGTTTATTCTGAGCATCACTAGAAAATAACAGCCTCCAGTCAAACATCCCATTCACCTGGGCTTTCGTGTCAGTCAGCGCAGCGCGTCACATTTCTGGCGCAGAGCTGATGACAGTTGTGTCTACACTCCAGAAACCTGTTCACGATCAATGCATTCATAGAAATAAAACTAGGGCTGATTTAAAGCATTTGGGCCAACAGCATAGAAGGCTGTGGATAAAAACAGATCAGACTCAAGCAGCCAAATAGAGGTCTGATAGGCCATTTAAACATGGTGCATTGTTTTATAGATTGAGATTAACCCTCCTCAAACTCGCAAAACATGATAACCAGACACAAGAAAGACTACAGTTTAGCCTGTCCGGTGGGTGTGAGTCTGATAACTTAACAATAATATTTAACAGGGAGGGGCAGGACTCAGTGGCTTCCTCTTAACATTACCTGGATAAATTCAGTAGCTGTTTCACAAGCAATAAGCAGAGTCTGATTGAACAATCCTTTTCCAGCAAAGGCTATTATGCCTCTTGCTATGTAGCTGCATTGAAGGCAGACATGAATGGCTTCAAATAGGTCCCTTGAAGCAAAGCCTCAGCTGGGGATTCTTGCAGGTGTGTTATTAGGGATGCTCTTAGGCTAGGGCATGGGTAGTAGCTGAGCAAAGATGTGGTCCCTGCTGGTCTGCTGCTGGGGTCAGCCTGATCTTGAGGGGAACACTGAGGCACAACTTATACCAGAGTCACCCAGCCTGAGGAAGGGGCCAGGCTCCGGTGAGCCCTTAGCAGCAGCTGGGAGGTGGTTGTACCAGCCAGGTGAGTGCAGGACACTAACAGGTCCATTGTGGTAGCTAAGCTGATGGGACTAAATTCTAGGAGCCTTGCTACATGGTGAGACATGTGGTTCCCATCCCAACCATGGCATCGCTAAAGACCTGATGACATGACCATGGGCCCCTCGCATGACCTCGCTAACCATCTTTTCCTCATCTGTAAAATGGGAGAGGCGGATGGTAGGGTTGGATTTTCGGTGATTGACCTATACTCCCAGCTCCAAAGTGCAATGATTTCAACAAGAGAAAGGAATGGGAGGAGGGAGGCTCCCGAGGAATAACCAAAGTCTTTTCTACTCAGAGAAGGGAGTTAATTAATGCAGATGTGTCCCTGAATGGCCACTCCATTACGTACTCTTGTCCACCTGGAACCGTTCTGGATACACAGGCAAATCTAAGAAGACAAGCAGGAGAGCTGCCCTGAAGGCAGGTGTTCTAAAAGAGGAAGGCAAGGCTCTGTTCTCAGACAAAGCTCTTCCAGGGGAGCATTAATGCAACCAGGCAACCTCATTTAACTGAGTCCTGCATCAAAGCAAATCAGAGGCCGAGGCTGTCCCTGCAAAATGGCACAACCTCAGTAGCAAGAGCAATTTAGCAAAATCTATCACAATTATAAATACATTTACTCTTTGGTTGCACAGCCCCATCTCTGGGAATTTATCCTCCAGCTATAGGTGTATGAAATGACTTCTATGTAAAGTTATTTATTATACTAATTTTTCAAAAATAGTCCAAGATTGAAAACAATTCAATGGTCCATCATAAAGGAACAACTATGGGACCGTCCATACAATAGAATATTGTACAACCGAGAACATTCTGTGCTAATATGGAACGTTCTCTGGGAAATATTGATATGTAAAAAAGCAAGGGGAGCCCAGCCGGTGTGGCTCAGTGGTTGAGCATTGACCTATGAATGAGGAGGTCACAGTTTGATTCCTGGCTCGATCCCTAGTGTGGGGCATGCAGGAGGCAGCTGATCAATGATTCACTCCCATTATTGGTGTGTCTATCTCTCTCTTCCTCTCCCATCAATAAAATAATATATTTTTAAAGCAAGGGGAAGAACAGCATAGATTAGTATGTCAATATAAACACATATGCATGTACAATATAGGTATGCTTCTTTCTATGTACAAAGTGGAGGTATAAAGATTATATATTTATAGCTAAGTGTATCCATGGATATCTGAAAGTAGTTTTTCTGTGTATCTGGAAAGATACAAAAAAAATAAAAAATAAACTTCTATGAGTGGTTACCCATAAGGGGTGAGGAAGTGGGTAGATGGGATGGATAGAGACATAGGTGGGATCGAAAATTCTCACCAAATGCCTTTATATAAATTTTTTTCAGGATTTTTTCCAAACACCATGGGTTCTTCTATAAGGAAAATGGAGTAGCTGTCTGATTAAAAAATAATACGGAAATTTAAAAGGCAGACATCAATCAAAGCTGGTCGTCCCAACTTGCCTTATTTCATGCTTTCGTTTTCAGAGATTGGCAAGGTTTGGTCCGTATTTAATAGCTGCACAGACCATATGGCTCACAAGGCTGAAAGCATTTACTGCCTGGCCCTTTACAGAAAGTTGGCCAAGGCCAGCTATAAGTTAGAGTTGTTTGTGAAACAGCTGTGACTGCCCTATCTGAGTTTCGGGTCCTGGAAGGTTTTGCCTTCTTGAAATCAGCTTTTCTGACCACAAATAGGTTCTGCGCCAAGAAAATGAGGCAGGATATTGAACGGGTTAAGAAACAAGCATAAACTCTGAGGAGATCTGGGCTTGTTCCTCGCCACTCTGTGGCCGTGCACAGGTTAGCTTCTCAAACTCTGAGTTTCTTCATCTGTAAAGGTGGGTCATAATAGGCCTCCCTCATAGAGTTGTTTGGAAGGTTTAGTATGTTAATGTTGGCAAGAAGTTTAACACATACACACACAAAAAGAAGAAGTTTAACATAATACCTGTTAGTCTCATCATCTAATCTTTTTATTTTTTTATAAACAGGGCGATGACCAGTTAAATGTATTTGGAGAGGACCCCACCGGAGGTGAGTTTTCTTTACCGAGCAAACTTGTCACTTGAGTGGCTTAGAATGTGTCTTTTTTATTAATCACCAGCAAAGAGATAATAAACTACCAGCAACATGTACTTTTCCCTTAGCCAGAGAACACAGTTAAGAGGGGAACTCTGTGCCTCTCTCCCCGCTGGGTCCATGTGAAGAAGCAAAGGGATGCCTAAGAGATGCACTTCCTCCAGCCCAGAGAACATGACCCCCGAGACACTCAGTGAGAAGAGGGTGCTCTGGGAAAATATGTTTGGGAAACGCTAACACTCAATCGCCTTCGGAAGAGTCGCATATAGAACAGCACAGCAAGGCTCCCGCAAGTCCTGCAGCAGAGAGAGCTAGCTAACGTTAATGAAACGTTCTTCAGTTTTTGAAAACACAAGTCCTTTTTCTGGATAGTAGTTACTATTCTGCAGTGTATCATTGGATGCAACCTAAGAAACACCCAAATTATACTGCTTTATAATTTTTGTCGTTAAAAGTCTTGCAAAAACTAAAAAAAAAATAAAAATAAAAAGATCCAACCACAATTAGGTACACATGGAACTGAAAATAGATTACATTATCTGAACTTGAGATTGTTCAAAACAGATAAGGTTCATGCTTGCCCTAAGTAAAATACCTCCCAACATTATCACTCTGTAATAAATGTTATCATTATAGTCCATGGAAATATGTTTGTATTGACTATGAATACATACAAGTGAGTTAGCTTTCTAAATAGCCCCAACTCTAATCCTGCGCTGATCCATGAGCATGAGGTGATAAAGTGTCATTTGATAATGGCAATAGCAGTATGTGAAAATCTCAGTCACCAAATGGCATCATGGGGATTCATGGGGAAAGGCACATAAACATGAGTCAAGTGCAAATAATGAACTCAGACCCACCTGGATAGGGATTGATTGATTGCCTAATAAAGTTGCCCTTTTTTCCTGGTTATAAAATTAACACATTCATTATAGAAGACTTTTTAAAGTAGAAATTTAGAATCATCTAAAACCTTATGGACTCTAAGTAATCATGGTTAACATTTCTAGTACATTTTATTCCAGAGTGTTGTTTATATACCTATTTTCACAGAGTTGAGAATACACATGTATATACAAATATTACCTCCAATTTTTGTGCATATCATAAGCATGTTCCCATGTCATTCAAAACTCTCTATAACCTTAATTTGTAATGGCTACATTACATGAATGTACCATTATTAATTTTAAAAAATAACTATTTTTAAAAACTGTAATAGGATACATATACCAAAAATAATAATAATAATAATAATAATAACCAGAGCCACTTTCCTAGATTTCAAATAAATTAAAAGATGCTCAGCTTCATAAAGTTAACTGGAAGTCCAGAGGATGTGAGATGACCCTCTGGTCCCACAGGTTAAGAGCATCTATGTGTTTTTGCCTTGAATAGAAAGCTCCAGATTACATACGACTCTGCCAGTCTCCCTGGGCTACTTTGTGAAGAGACTGGGGCATCCCTGATTAAAAAGAACAACAACAAAAATCATCCTTCAGTATAAAAAAGAAATTACTTCAAAGACTCCAAATTCACTTTTTCCTCTGCTTCCAGCTCTTTCTCCCCTACCTTGTTTCCCTTCTATCCCCAACCCAATTCTTCATGTCCATTCTCTCTCTCTCTCTCTCTCTCTCTCTCTCCTCTCCCTCTCCCTCTCCCTCCCGTCCCCCCCTCTGTTGTTAGGCCTTTCACTCAGCTCATAATGGATTCCTGCAAAAAGATAGAATTGAGTATATAGATGAATTACCCCAATTCCACTAAAAGTTTTATAACAGAAAATCGACCTAACTTTCCAAAGTACTGAGCATCTACATAAGGCATGAAGTATAAATCAGAGTCCTATCAGTTTATTTAAAGTGTAAAACTTGTAATTTTGTCACCAAGATGGGAGATAAAAACCTTCTCCTCTCTATCCAGGTAATTACATTCTACCTGTCACTTTAGTCAACTCACACCCATAGGATGAGCAAAAGCAGTTATTTCTGAACCAGGAAAAGACCCTGGAGCTCCACCTAGGAGCCCAGGGCTAACTCCATCCTGCCCCACTGAGAGGGCTGCTCCAGGAACCCACACACCCCAGGGGCCTGGAGCTCCAACAAAAACACCAATACCTTTAAACTCCAGTGTCTTTACTTTAAAACTGCATGCAAATTTTTCATGAAGTGGAACAAACCACAGTATCCTACATTGCAATATATTACTGTCTAGTCAATGTATCTTGCAATTTGTAAAGTATCTCCCTTAGCAATAGGGTTAACAAGAATAATAAAGTATTCAAAATTGTCTCCTCCTACTCTCTCTGTAGCCACATCTGTCCAGCTGAGGGAAGGATTCAGCTTCGATGTTGTTTTGTTTGTCTAGCCTGGTGCCCTGAAAACATGACTTTGAATGTTAACTCTTGGTACCATAGTCCACACCCACCCACTGGTTTAGAATCTCTGCCCGGCCTTTGCCTAAGCATAACAAAGAAACCTTTCTAGAAGTTCTTGTTTGTGGAATCAGCCTGCCATCCCCACCCCCACCCCCACGGGTGTGAGACTAAGCTGCTCAGAAATTAGCCAGTCGGAGAAGGACTTGAACATGGTGAGTTTCTCTGACTCTCCTAAGTCCTGCATTTTGAGCTTTTGCCATCCCCATTTGCCCAGGATGGCCTGTAGGTCGGAGCAGTGTCTCCCAAAGTGGCTTCTACTGAATCCCACTCTGAACTTCACAGCATCCTGAACGAGCCCACACCTTGTCGGCCTGCCCAAAAGCTCCAGGTCCAGGGCAGAAGGCTGCCCCTGCCCTGGCACAGTTGAGTAAGCGGCCTGCTAACTCTCACCGTGCGGTAACAGGTTCAACTCCTGATTGCATGTAAAGTCTAATCTTCATAAATGAAGCCTGATGGCCTTAAGCAAAGGTGCAATGTTTGTCCCTGCTCCTCTCTGAAGCAGTCGTGGGTGGGACTGCTGTTTTCTCTACCCTCAGATCCTCACTCTAAACATATTTCGAATTTGAGGCACCCCTGCTTCCAGACTCAAGCAGTAACCACTGGCATTTTCTGAGCCTTGAGATTGGAGCTCCCAGAGCCATTCCCAGTTCAAGTTTTTGGTTGTGGCCATCTCTTCAGGGGCCCTCACTCTTACCCACGGTCTCTTAGGATTTTGGTTTACTTTAGGAAGATATCTTAAACATACAGCATCATAATTATGGCCCAGGGACAAAGGAGGCCATTTCCTCATGTGGCCTATTCATTTACAGGAACCACAGGTCATGGGTATTTGAACCAATTAGAGACCATTGGGTCCAACACCTTTATTTTACAAATGGGGAAACTGAGGTGCAAGGAAAAGAAGTCATTTGCCTATATCAAGTCAGGTGACAGCAGGATAAAAAATGGAGCTCATGTCTACCCATCCCTCCTGGCTGCCTACTACAGCACGTGACAACTGAGCATCTGTTAGGGCTCCACAAACTCTAGAGGGTTTCCCACTTTGCCAAGATGTCTAATCATACCTTTGCCTTAAAGCAGTGGTTCCCAAAATTCAGTCTTCACTTGTCACCTTTGTGATTTTTGCTTTATCTCTATACTACTTATTATGCCATATATTATTCACATAATACTTTTCACTAAATTGACTCACTATTATTATTTATATACATTTATTTTTAAAATAAATTTTATATCACTACCTTAAATGGAAAATAGCATTATTTTTTGTACATAGGAACTATTTGTAAACTATTGTCTTCGAAACTCTCTTTATCAAAGAGAGATTAGTAAATGTTTAAAAATATGAAGTAACTCACAACTGAGACACTTAAGAAATTTTTTAAGTAATTTCTTAAAAATTATCTTTATTTGTGATTAATGCTATTTAATGGCTTATTAGTTTCACTACCTAAAGGTGATCATTTGTGTTTAAATGAAAATATGTTACCTGGGTCTAGGAATAGGCCGTAATGGTCACTGGTGCCATTTCATTATGGACTATTAACACACTTACTCATCTTCAAGCTTCTTATCAAGTAAAACTACAAGATTTTGGTTTTTACGTAACATGAGCAAAACCAGGGTTTCAATACAGTACTTCCTGCCAATAACTTCAATTATTCTTACTTTAAAGGTTTCATGGAAGATTTGAGGAAGTGTAAAATTATTTTCATGATTGGTGAGTAACAGCCCTCAATTTTCTAATGCAACTGCTAATAATAACAACTTGGTAGGGGGAAAGGCTATTCATTTCTCACCCTCTGAAGTCTTGCCTCCTTTTCAGTTAAGATAACACCCAGCGGCTTTCGGATTGCTGCATTCATCTGCACAGTTTTATATTGCGTTTGGATTTGTATCTTTTCAGCACAGACAACGGAGGGTTCTCAATGGGCCCTCCCACTTCAGCACTCATTTGTGTGGGTTGTTACCCTGGACTGTCTCCCACCTTCAGTCACCCGCCAAATCCTTACTGGGTGTTGGACCCATGCTGGGCAATGAACAGGGATCTCAGAGCTTCCATCTTAGATGAAAAAGAAGAACCAATCAAAGTTTTATCACAAAATTAGAAAAGCTACAAAGAGCTGAAATAGAAAAACTTACACGGAGGGTTTGGGGTAGAATTGGGTTTTTAGTTTATACAGGGTAATTAGGGAAGGTTTCCTTTGGAGGTGACATTTAAGCAAAGAACTGAAGGAAGAGATGGGATGATTGAAGGGATTTATGGGGTGTGAGAGAAGGGAAGAATTCCAGCCAAAAGAACATGTGTTAAGCAGCAACAATTCTTGAGCCCAACCTGGGTTCTATATCTGACTTACTTGCCTCTAGTTGACTTGACCTTGGGATCTGGATGGATTCTTGCCAAACTTATTTTGCATTCTTTCCAGAAAGTAAAAGTGCATTATTTCTACTCCTTACCAAAGAGAAACACATCATATTTTCAAAGAAAATTTTCCTTTCCCCATAAACTTTACTCAGTTTTCTTGGCATCAAGGCCAAGCTGCAATAAATTATACTTTCTGTTTAGCTTTTATCTTAGGGGCCAAATTAGGATGAGGAGAGCCCCTTTAAACGTGGTGTTCAGGAATCCAAGGAATGATCCTTTAGACATCTGCATTTTTAAAAATACGGTGCAGAAAAGGCTTCTAAAAATAATACCGCATATTTTGTGGTTGTTGTTACTGTCTCTAACGTGAATATTATTTCATATGTACCCATAGTTTAGCACTCACCATTGAATTTTGAAATGTATTTTCAAACGTCACTTCTATCTGTCTAGGATAACTAAAGATTTCAGCTCCCCTGTCCCTCAATCCTGTGCCCTGTAGGTCAAATAGCACAATATAAAATCTTTGGCGTCAGACAAAGCTTGAGATCCCAGAAGGTCTACAGATCACACACTGAACTGCTGCTCTGAGCAAAAGGCTTTTCTTCTATCCAAACAACCTCTCCAGTATGTCAACTTAATGGTCAGTCACTATTCTAGTAAAAAAAAATATTTCAGCTTATTGTGTGGGCAGTAAAAGGTACAAAGCCACTGTGATCTGAGGAAAAATAATAGTTCTTCTTCTAGGGTACTTACTGGGCTCTGCTTGAAAATTAAGGCTTTGGTTCCAAACACTTCTCGTCAGATGGCAGAATGATGTTTGGGGGCTGTATTATTATTGCAGGTCAATTTGAGCTCGTGAAAATACTCAGGATGTCATACAGAGCAGTTTTGATGAGTTTTCATAAACAAGAGTCAGTTGATGTCAGTGAAACAAGTGTGGTTTTGTCTAGATGAGAAGATGACTGGGTTTTTTTTAGTTTTTAAATTATTATCTTGGCCTCTACCAGAGCCACAGTGGAGCTGTAGTATTATGTAGTATTAGCAGAGGGTAGGGTGACATCCTCACTGTTAGTCATAAGATAAAATGAATGTCCTTAAGGCACTCTCCCCTGGTTTCAAAGTTCCCTTTATTAGAGCCCTTTTATTAGTTCCCTTTTATCCACAAAAAGGTCTAGACTCCTTAAGACTGGCCTTCAAAGCCCTCTCCCTACTGGCCTCAATGTGTCTTTCCCCTTTCCCACTGCACCCCAAGTCTTCCGCTCCAACCCCTCCTGCATCATTATTATCTGAATGTTTCTCGCTTTTGGCAATCTTTTTACTTGCACTGTCTTCTCCCCTAGCTAATCATGCCCCAGGAGGGGTTTGAGTCCTAACTCCCTGTGAAGTCTTCTCTAATCACCAGCCTTCCACCCCTGAGCTCCTCCGTCCCTCGTGTCTGCATCGCTCATTTAGATGCCCCATAATGACTAGAACAACAAATATTTGTTGGAATAATGAATTCTTTAAGAAGCAGTGTGGTCAGTTTCCATAACAACCGAAACAGCAATTGGAATTCCTGGAATGGAACGGACAAGCAGGCTGCTGCCGTCGCTGTTTGTGGCAGGAGGGTTTTCAGGTTAATTGCGAGCCTCATCAGATGCTCCTGACTCCATGGAGCTGCTACCCCCTCGCTGAGAACAAGCAACATCAACTCCCTCCTTCCACCACCTCTCGCCCTAAGCTGGTGCTATTTTTTGCTCATTTGCAAAATACTTACAGATGGATGTAGGCAATAACACTGACAGTCATCTGAGTGGAGGGAAATGTTCTGGGAAAGTGGCCCAAAAGGTGGCACGGATGGACCTCGCTGGCCCTTTGAATGTTTTGTGAATATTACCTCTGTGTTCAGGAAGAAAGCAGCTCAGTTGCTGTTTATAGACACACCTTCCAAAGCTCAGATAAGGGATGTCACAGGATAGAGCCTGGTGATCAAAGGATTGAAAAGGTCTTACGGGCTTTGGTTGTTCACACAAGATAGAGAACTATGCCAATATGTAAGACAGGGACGCGGTCATTACTGGAAATGAAAAATTATCTGGAAAATGTAAAAATACCCTCATTATATCCCACTAATAGGCTCCCAGAGTCTTTCACAACTTTTTCTGGAACATTTCTCCTTTTTTTTTTTTTTTAATCTCTTGATCACTATCTATTATGGCTTCTTTTTCCCTTGTCTGCTTTTCACAGCCTGCCTATCACCTGAATTCCCATTATTCCTCTTCAAAGCCTTAGTAGTAGTGCTTCAATTTGGAAAATGATCTGACTTTACAGATGAGGTGCGATGCTAATGGCATAATGATCAAGTCATCATTCAATGGCTTGGATTTCAATGTGTCGGGGACACAGATGGCCTTGTGTACCTTGCATTGGTGCTGATAAGCTGCTTTTAAGTAGTAAGCTTTGAGAGGTACTTGTACAGTATTTTTGTGTTATTCTGTGCATTTTTAACCACTGAGCAACTATTCCCATTTATTCCCTGGAGAAAAACTGGAGCAATGAGAATTTTTGTTCAAAACTTAGTATTTCAATGAATAAGTCTAATTTTTAGAGAGTATTTTCTTGGGGCTCAGGTTGAATGTTTTTTGTTGTGTTTTTTTTTTGTGGAATTGACTCACGTGTTTAGTTAAATTAAAAAATAAAAATGAGCCCTAACTGGTTTGGCTCAGTGGATAGAGCATCAGCCTGCGGACTGAAGGGTCCCAGGTTCAATTTTGGTCAAGGGCATGTACCTTGGTTGCGGGCACATCCCCAGTAGGG